TAAAATGCTTGATTCTGATAGGCATGGCTGTCTGACTGATGATACTATTGATACACTTAAAAGTCGTGTATTTAATGTTTCAATACAAGAAAAATATAAGGAATTGGAAAGTGAAGGAACAAATCCTCCAATTTGCCTATTTTCTAAGGTAGATGCCTGCCAAAAAATCAATGAATTAATGTTAGAAAGTCTAGAAACTGAGAAAATAGAATTAGCATGTGTTGATGTTGTTGATGAAAGTGGCAGCACAGCAAAATTTGACAAAAAACAAGAAAAAAAATTAGAGAAACTAAAAGATCAACCAAGCAAAACAGCTGGTTTAGAAACTGTATTGTCTTTAGCAGTAGGCTGTAGAGTAATGCTAAGACGTAATATTGATGTGACTGTAGGATTAGTTAATGGGGCCATTGGTACAGTAATGGGTATTTATGCTACACGTATATCAATCAAATTTGATCATATTGATGTACCTTGTGACATAGAAAGGGTTACTTCTAGATTTATGCTATCTAAGAATTTGTATATACTTAGGAAACAGTTTCCCCTCATACTTTCTTATGCTATTACTATACATAAATGTCAGGGCCTCTCACTAGATACAGCCATTATTGATTTATTGACTGATGTTTTTGGGGATGGTATGGCATATGTTGCATTGTCTCATGTACGTACATTAAATGGATTACATTTATTATCATTTGATCCTCTCTCTGTTAAAGTTAGTAATCCGTGCATTAATGAAATTAACAGACTGAGAACTAATTTTCGGAATGACTTACCTCAAATCAAGAAAAGTAAAGGAAAGAAGAGAAAGATTCAAGTGACTGGTATAATTGATGATGGTGAACCTTGTAGTAAGAATGCCAAGGTGTCTGTAAGTCATGTACAAAGTACTAGTAACAGTACTGTTAGTAGTAAGAGTACTGATTTACAAAAGTCTAATCGCCCCAAAAAGAGTAAAATATGTGACAATAATGCTTTAAATAAGCCTTGCCCCCAAAAAAGAAAAGTTGATGTAGACAGTGGTACTGACAATACTGCTTTGGTATTGCCTCGCTCAAAAAAAGATGATAAATTAATTGTTTCAATTAATTTGAAAGACCTAAAAACCAAATTTAATGTCAAAGATGATGATAGTTGTAGTAGTCTCATTGTATCTATAAAACTCTCAAACATTAAATGTAAACCAAAAGATGATAAAACCAAGTGTGTTGTAAAAAAAGACCATTGTAGTAATGGTCTGATTGTATCTATAAAACTCTCAAGCATTAAATTAAAGACAAGTAATCCAAAAAAAGATGATGTCATCTTTACTTCTGAAGAGCCTCCCAACCCAGATATTGTGAGAAGGAGACAATGGGATTATGTTTATTACCCTGGTAATGAAGAATATCAAAGAAGGTGGTGTGAGATTTTAAATCTCAAATTTGTCACAGCTGCTAGAATCTTACCTGGTAGTCCAACAACACCATTGTCAGATGAAAGAGTTCCTAATAGTACTCTTGATGTCCCTGGTGATGGGAACTGTTTATTTTATGCCCTTTCATATCTCATTACTGGGTCAATTTCTCAGCATTACAAATTACGTAAAGCAATTGTTAGTAACATGCCAAACTTTGAAGAAGAATTGTTTAATAGTACATTAAGTGCAACCAGATATTCAAGCATATATGATTACATAAATAAGTCCAAAATGTATAGAAATTGTGTGTGGGCCACTGACACAGAGATTATTACATTATCTGCAATATTAGGTACAACCATATATTCATATTCACTAACTCCTACTTTTGTTGGCTGGGCTAGATATGGAACCCAAACTTTATATGGCATTCCTTGTGATACTAATACACCTGCTTTGTATTTGAAGCATGTTGGTACTAATCATTTCCAAGCAGTTAAGTCTATTAATATTTCTTAAGCATTGATTGTTGATGGAAAGTGGGTATGGTGTATGGGAGGTCCATCATCTTAAAAACATTGGTTATTTAATGTGACTTGTATTTCACTGCATGTGCAATGTGAATGATGTGTGAGTCTGAAAACCATTGGTGCATATCCACCCAGTATTGCTCAGTATCAAGGATGTGAGATTAATCAATGTATAACAGTGAATATTTATTACTTGTTGCTATAATGGACAGGGAGAGGGTGTGAAAGAGGTTTGGTGTTCATTAGAGTTTTGCATTGATTCAAATTTGTGTGACTATCATTTATGTAGGACAGAGGGTTAGGAAGGGAGGAAGCTGTCATTATCAAATCTGGATCTTGTTTGTGGCTTGTACTACACATAGGCGGCTGCAGGATTTGACTACTAGTCGGGCATGGGTGTGGCACAGGAAATGGGTTGGGCGTGTGAAGTGCGCCGCAATTTTGGCCACACCCTCTTTTACGCACCCTTTTTAGCACAATTTTTTGGTAGCGAAGTTTATTGTAATAAAGTAGTGGGTGGTGTAGCTCCAACACTGACTTCTGTAGTGGTAATAGTACTAGTAGTAGTATTAGTAGAGGAAGTAGAAGAATAGGGTGATGGAGAATGAGCACAATTGACTGTACATCAACTGTAGCTGTAAAAACTGTAGCTATATCAACCACAAGAGCCGGTAGACTGAGACTCATGATCATCAACTCTCAGCAAGAAACTGGCCTAAAGTAAGAATTATGAGATAATCTGTATTATTGACTTCTATACTGTACTTACTAGGTTCACTTTGTAAACTGTTGTTCCATTTTAGCAGGCTTGTTCACAAAGGACATAGTGAAGCTAGTCCAGGCTTTTAGACATTGCAACTGACAAGAAAAGAACACTGAAATAGCACTAAATAATGAAATGATTATGCTTTCTAGTGTTGCTGTGGTGGCCCACTGTGATTGGCACCAAAGTCTTACCACCTCCTCCTTTATTTAGTCTCTCTTCATCACTTTGTTATCAGCCTGCCATTTATGCATTCATAATTATACGATTTTCATAAAAAATTGAAATTATAATTGCAATAACTGTTATTAACTATTAATTAACCATAGAATAACTATTAATTATGGTGATGTCACACTTCCGGTCAGAATTTTTGGTCGGGCATTGCCCCTAAATGCCCGACCCTGCAGCCGCCTATGGTACTACATGTTTATTACAAATAACAGGTGCTTATGGATCTGGGCGCTGCTAAAAAAATTTTGAAGGACAAGAAAAATTTTCGAGTAAAATTAAAATTTGTTATTATACGTGTAGTATTATTCAAGCAGTGATTCTGTACATATAATAAATAATGATCATCATGCATGTTAATGCTGCCATCAATGCTGTGCGCATTACATATATGTAAATGCTTGCCAGCTGATTTTGCGCATAATGCTGCCATCAATGCTGTGCGCATTAAGTTAATGCTTGCCAGCTGATGTTGCGCATTTGAATGATGCTGCCATCAATGCTGTGCGCATATTAAATGCTTGCCAGCTGATGTTGCGCATCTTTTGTTGATGATTGTTGTAACATGTGCATGTTCTCATTAACAAAAAAATATTGTTTGCACATTAAATATTGTTCATGTACACAGTGTTATGTTATATTAAGCAGGTCATGAAAGTATCTTAACTGCAGATAGCATTAGTAAGCAATAATTATTATGTTTAAAATACATGCATGCCCATACATGTATGATCCAATCAAAAATATTGTAGATGTTACCGTTATCATTATTAGTTAGTATTCACATTCATACCTTTGATAGGTACTTGCTTGGCACAAGGACTACAACGTGGTGTTAAAGAGTGAGGTTTGATGTGATTAATAATAAAGTTTGTTCACCATTACTGTTTGTGCTATTGTTATTATTAGCCTCTGAGTTTACATTGCTTACTTTTGATGTGTTTCTATTACTATGCTTTACAGGTAATTACAGCTGGGAATGATTAGCTGATTCAGCAATGCCTTTGCTTGAAATTATAATGTGCAATATAATGAAAGGCAATTCTGTATTTAGATTGTTGTAACTAAATTAATTTATTTATTAAATGTAACTTAATGTTTTGTTGCAGCTCCTTGATTAGTAGTTGTATCACACAGTAGGAGGTGCCAGTTT